TGTTTAGTTATAGATGAACATGGATCATAGATACATTGTTTAGTTATAGAGAACATGGATCATACACACATTGTTTAGTTATAGATGAACATGGATCATAGATACATCGTTTAGTTATAGATGAACATGGATCATAGATACATTATTCAGTTATAGATGAACATGGATCATACATATATTATTATTTCTATTGTTATCATCCAACTAGACAACAATGGAAACAGGCTGCTGCTGGAGACCAAACATTCCAGAAGCTACTTTATCCAATCCGGTTTCTACACTGAACTTCCAAGGCCGATACAGCTTGCTATTGGTATAAAACATATGTAATCATTCTACACACGCATACCTGTGTCAATGGAACGCAAAAAGCTTCCAAATGTATATCCAGTCAAATCAAACTTCGGTAGCTGTAGTGGTTCTTCTATAACAATTGGGTTTTCCTCTTGCCACGCTATTTCAACTTGGTCGGTTGTTTGTGCGTCTAACGACGGATTTATGGAAATTAAACAAAATGTAAAAATAAAACAAATGTAGTTTTATTCGTCACAATCATGTATTGGTAGAGTGAGAAGGTGTTATTAATCAGTGTACAGTTAACTCTGTTTGTTTTACAGAAATAACAGTTTTTATCAATGATTGGCAGTCGAACGTACAGTATTTTAATGCTCGATTTAAACAACTGACAGTCAAACCTGCAGTGTTTAGTACTTGGTTTAAACAACTGACAGTCAAAATAAGTGTTTTAGTACTTGGTTTGAACAATTGACAATCAAAATTAGTGTTTTGTTAGAATTTTAGTTCAAAAACTAAAGAGTGTGACTGTTTTACCTATTTTATGTAACAATTCAGTTTTATATCTAGATGTTTAGTTCAAAAACTAAGGAATGTGACTGTTTTACCTATTTTATGTAACAATTCAGTTTTATATCTTGATGTTTAGTTCAAGAACTAAAGAATGTGACTGTTTTACCTATTTTATATAACAATTCAGTTTTATATCTAGATGTTCAGTTCAAGAACTAAAGAATGTGACTGTTTTACCTATTTTATGTAACAATTCAGTTTTATATACAGATGTTTAGTTCAAGAACTAAAGAGTGTGACTGTTTTACCTATTTTATATAACAATTCAGTTTTATATCTAGATGTTTAGTTCAAGAACTAAAGAGTGTGACTGTTTTACCTGTTTTATGTAACAATTCAGTTTTATATATAGATGTTTAGTTTAAGTACATTGTGGTATGCACATCATTCCTTTCTCCTTGAGAAAACTCACGTGTACACAGAAGGACAAGACAACATTCAAAAACTCACGTGTAAGAAGGAGGACAAGACAATGTTTAAATACTTACGTGTAAGAAGGAGGACAAAACAATGTTTAAATACTCACGTGTAAGAAGTGGGACAAGATAACGTTCAAATACTCACGTGTAAGAAGGAGGACAAGACAATGTTCAAATACTCACGTGTAAGAAGGAGGACAGGACAACTGTCAAGTACTTACATGTGCCCAGGAAGAGATGACAACGTTGTGTGTCAAGAGGATAGTGACGAAAATTCATATTACAATACAGATGCAATGTCAGTCTAGAAGATAGAGATTTACTGGTTAATAAAAACAATGTGTCTTTAGCAATACTTCAGTAATCATAACAAACTATCGCAGTGAATGTTATTTAGGATTATATTTAACAAACAGTCACCAAAGAAACATTTTAGATCATTACACAGTGAATGTTATTCAGGATTATATTTAACAAACAATCACTAAAGAAACATCTTAGATCATTACACTGTGAATGTTATTCAGGATTATATTTAACAAACTATCACTAAAGAAACATCTTAGATCATTACACTGTGAATGTTATTCAGGATTATATTTAACAAACTAT